TAGCTACACCAGCAGCAGCAACAGCAGCAGCAGCAGTAATAGTAACAGTAGTAGTAGCAGTAGAAGTAGTAGTGATGAGAGTAGTGGTAACAGTGAAGTAGTAGTTGTAGTGTGTAGAGTGAACGAGTAGGAGTGATGGGAGCAGTGGTAGTAGCAGTAGCAACACTGCTTTCGATAACGGCATCTCCAAATGAGATCTTTGTATACATGCATTGAGGTCTAAACAAGACACTGCTATCAACGGATGTGATTCCAAACGAGACACTGCTATCAACGGGTTGAGCCTCAAACGACACACTTGCATCAATGAATGTAGCTCCAAAACAGGCACTCCCATGAATGGATTTAGTGTGATGTCGTAGTAGTAGTAGTAGTAGTAGTAGTAGTAGTAGTAGTAGTAGTAGTAGTAGTAGTAGTAGTAGTAGTAGTAGTAGTAGTAGTAGTAGTAGTAGTAGTAGTAGTAGTAGTAGTAGTAGTAGTAGTAGTAGTAGTAGTAGTAGTAGTAGTAGTAGTAGTAGTAGTAGTAGTAGTAGTAGTAGTAGTAGTAGTAGTAGTAGTAGTAGTAGTAGTAGTAGTAGTAGTAGTAGTAGTAGTAGTAGTATGGACACGGACCCGTAAGACCTGAGTCTCCACCGGGGTGCTCGGCGAAGCCATTGATGATGATGATGATGATGATGATGATGATGATGATGATGATGATGTGATGATTGAAGAGGATGATGGGATGATGACCGCGCTACTTGGGGATGAGCGCTCCCGGCATTCAAAATGTGGCCCGGGAATGGTGTTCTGGGAAGTCCAAGAGCACGAAGTGGCCTACAGTTGGCTCCGGGCATCCAAAATGTGGCCCGGGAATGGAGCTCTGGGAAGTCGAAGAGCACGAAGTGGCCTACAGTTGGTCCCAGGCATCCAAAATGTACGCCGGGAATGGAGTTCTGGGAACTCGAAGACCACGAAGTGGCCTACAGTTGGTTCCGGGCATCCACAATGTACGCTGGGAATGGAGTTCTAGCAGCGCCAAGAGCGATTTTGCGAGGATGTCCAAGGCGATTTGGGCTTCGACGGCAGCCGCCCCGGGTCCTGCCCCGACCCCCCTGAGGAGTCATGATGCTTTCTTTTGACCCTACTAGAAACCTATCAGTCTTCGCTGTTAGGTTAAAATCGGACGAACCTCCAGGGCCAGCAGAAAAGCGAGGCATCGGCCCGCCGCCCCGCGCGCCAGCGTCGCAGCAAGGACCCCCCTTCCACTCCTGAAGCACAGATGGGGCAAACCCCGAACACACCTTCCAAGCGTGCCAGGCCTGAGGGAGAGCTCCTGCCAGCGCGAGCCTGGGTCCGAGCTTCCTGGGGGCATCCGCGGCTAGCTTCCTGATGCGGGCGGCGCGGCGGCAGGCCTGACTCAACCTCCTGGAGTGCCTAGCGTTGGACCCCTGGGCGCCGCTGCCAATCTCGATGTCCAAATCGGCGGCCACCGAAGCCACGGCAGCCTCGCACCCAAGGAGAAGCGCGCCGTTCTGGATCTCCCTCGCCACCGGCAAGTCAGAGGCCACTATCGTGGATTGATTGGCAACCTTGGTCCTGTCTGCAACCAGAAACGAATTTGCTGTTGGCGTAAACGACCTCATGGATGACATCTCGCCTCACCCTTTCCGCGCGCTGGGTGACATGCATTCGTCTTCACAGGGCCTTGAAGGAGCTATTGGCACTCGCAGCCTCACAAATCTCAAACATCTTACGCTTGGAAACATCGGAAGGCCCTCCGAGCCCCCGCCACAAGACCTACCAACAGAATAATGGGCAGAAAGCGGCACCCCGCATCCTCAAGGATACGAGGCCAGAGGGTGAGCAGGAAAGTCGAGGACCATTGCGTGAGCGGCGACTTTCTCCCACCTGGTGGCGTCGTCAAGAGTTTCGACATCCCATCTGTAAGCAGACCAGAACTCGGACATGGAAGGGGCCCGGGCAGCCTCGCCAGCGCAATTTCCGAGCATTGCTTCCCCGAGAAGCAGCGTCCCAAGGGCGAGCCCGAGATTCAGCCCAAACTTCCGCAGGCGGGAGCGCATGCTTCTCCACGGACGCCCCGACCAGGCGATGGGTCCAATTGCGCGATACTTGCACACATCGGGCTTGCAGAGCCTTTCGGTCTCCTGAACAAAGCGCGAGCAGCTCGCGGCGCCCAGCAGCTGGCAGCCACCAAACGTCTAAATGACCTAGAGCCTCGAGACCCTTAGCACGATTCCGGGACATCCCATGCAAGGGATCAGCTTTCGCGAGAGGGCCCAGGCTTTCAAACGTGACTCGTTCGCGAGCTTCCAGGCTGACCTCAGAAATTGCGGCTTCGCCCAACCCAATAGGGGCACACAGCTTGGCCCAGGCCGAGGCTTTGACCTCCATGATAGAAGCCGAACCCACAGACGTCTGACCCAGGATCCAGGCTTCGCAGACTTCCGCAGTTTGATCGCGGACGCCCCTACGCGCGGCCCCAAGGCCCTGGATCGAGCGTTGTGCAACTCAGTCCTTAAAATCGCGCTGTCTCTGTCTGGCGACAGCCCTCTGAGCCTGCTGGGACGCTTTCAAAGCCGTCCCCGAAAACGTAACAATCGTTTCCTTCGACGCATCTCGAAGGGCCCTAAGTGACCTGACCCACCGATAGCGCCTGCGGGCAGGGAGAGGACCGACCTGGGTCTGAGGAATGGAGCCCACCCACCATGCCACACAAGCGCGCATATCATGATCGGCCCTCGGTGTACCCTCCCGTGCTGCAGCGCGCAGACGCACGATATCGGAACACACATTGGACACAGTCGACCACCAAGTGGCGCTAGGGTCACTGACAGTAGCCCAAGGCTTCGCCCCTTCGACCAGGTGCAACACCCGCGCCCGCACATTACCCTCCCTCCACCGAAAGTGTTGCCTTTCTTGGGTGGGATACATCTTTGTAGAATAACAAGCCACCGTGGACACCCACCGCCAACAGTGCGGGTCGTAGTCCACCGCGGTCGAGGCTGCTCGACCCACGGCGGCACAGGATCTCCGTCATGCACCCAAGAAAGCATTGTCCACGGCTTGCAGAGCATTGGCCAAGGATCTCCGTCATGCACCCATTGCTTAGTGCGTCTCGCACGGCCTGTTGGGCCTTCCCCATCATGAATGAAATAGATGTGATCTGTGATCCCTGCTCGGGGGTTAGGATGCCAGCGTAGGTCGGGCGGAGATCGTCGGAGGCCCCACGTGCTCGCGCACCCTCCCGGCACACAAGCGGACGGAGCACGTCTGGAGGAGGAGGAGGATGTGTTGGTTTGTTGTTCCTTGCTGCGCCAACCAGGTCTAAGTTGTTCTTCGCTCCTCTAAGTCGGCGTGAGGTGTTTTATCTCGTCTCGCATCCTATAACGCTCCATGCTGCTGCGTTAAGCCTGCGCGCCGCCAAAAAGAAGGAGGAGGAGGAGGAAAACAACAAGGGGAACGAGGACGAAGAAGACGAGGACGAGGACGAGGGGGACGAGGACGAGGACGAGGGGGGCGAGGAAGCGAGGAGGACGAGGGGGGGCAGGGGGAAGGGAGAGCCACGGAAGGGAGAGTGAGAGGAGGAGGAGGAGGAGGAGGAGGAGGAGGAGGAGGAGGAGGAGGAGGAGAATAAGGCGGAGAACGAGGTGAAGTCAGGAAGGGGGTGGGGTGTTGGTGCTGGCATTGTTTCGTGGGCCTTTGCGGCGCCTGCGTCGCCACGGCAGGCTCCGCCTCGATGCCTTGGTCCGAGAGCGTTTCAGAAGCTGGGTCGGGTGACGGGGGGGGGGAGGGGCTGGAGACGGCGGGCGGGACCGACATTCGAAAGAGGAGGAGGAGGAGGAGGAGGAGGAGAAAGAGGACGGCTGGCGGCCCTGGAGGCCAGCGCCCTGCTGCCCGCCGTCCGCTTCTCTTCTAGAGAGGTAGTAGCATCAGCATTTGTGGGAGCATCGGACAATCTCTGGGCACGCTCGAGGAGGACGGGGTGAGCAGCGGCAAGAGGAGGACGGGCACGGTGGTGGTGTTCCGCGGGTGCGGACGACGACGAGGAAAGGGAGGCGCCCCCGGCGGCCGCAGGCTGTCGTCGACAGGAGGAGGATTGCAGTGAGGATTCGGAGGAGGGGCAGCAGCAAGAGGAGGACGAGGATAGTGATGCCGCGGAGGAGGAGGAGGAGGAGGAGGAGGAGGAGGAGGAGGAAAAGGAGGAGAAGGAGGAGAAGGAGGAGGAGGAGGAGTTGGAGGAGGATGAGGAGGAGGATAAAGGGAAGATGAAGAGGAGGAACAGAGGGAGGAGGTTGAGGGAGGCAACGACATCAAATTCAGCAGCGACAGCGACAGGTGGAGGGGGAGGGAGTCATGACCAAGGGCGCGCGGAGGAACAGGAGGAGAAGGACGCAGTGGAGGGACAGGCGGAGGAGGAGAGGCAGGAGCAGGGAGACCATGAGGGTCAGGCCGAGGAGGACGAGGAAATGGAGAGCAGGACAACGAAGCAGAGGCGCCTCAACTTACAGGCCGCCGTTTTGGGTTTCATTTCACAGCATATTACACGGATTGGTAAACAATATCTGCCGAACAAATGTTGCATTGATGGCCATATAGAGCGCAATCGTTTCGCTTGCGTTGTCTGATCGCCCATTTCCCTCCCCCTAGCGGAAATCTTGGCACAACATCAAAGGAACTTGAAAAACATCCGCGCTCTTGGAAACTCCAGAAGCATGCGAAAGCATGGGAGACCCGTGGAAGCAGACGAGATCCTTTTGAGGAGCCCTCCAAAAAACACACACTCCCAGAAAACGAGAGCCTCCGAGGGCGCGCAGGAGCGTTCGAGAGAGCCTCCGGAAGTGCCCGGCAGAGTTTCCACGCGCCGTGGAGGACCTCCGGGAACCTCGGACGCCGAGAGCATCCGAGGACCGACGGGCGCGGTCGGAGAGCGGCCGTCAGAGACGGCGGAAGGCGCTGGGGGAGCGCGGAGGGGGGCCGCGGCCCCGGGCGCGCGGCAGGCTGTCCATGGACAAGACCCCGCAGGAGGCGCACCAGGAGGCCCTCGGTCGGCCGCCGCGTCTGCCCCCCGGGGAGCCGGCGGCGCAGAGGAGAGGTGCGGCAGCGCCGACCAGTGTGCGCTTTTTCCTCGGCGAGGACCATCCTCCTCCTCCTCCTCCTCCTCCTCCTCCTCCTCCTCCTCCTCCTCCTCCTCCTCCTCCTCCTCCCTCCTCTCCTCCCTCCTCCCTCCCTCCCTCCCTCCTCCCTCCCTCCCCCTCCCTCCCTCTCTCCCTTCCTCCCTCCCCCCTCCCTCGGACGTGTGCGCTTTTTCCTCGGCGAGGACCATCGAGGAGCATGCTTGATCGCTTGCCGAAAAAACACCCACGAAACCGGAAACAACACAGGGAATGGACGTCCGAGCGATGGCCAGCCGGACCCCAACGCTCTGCGCCATCTCGGGAGCCTCGAGACGGAGGTCAGTGCAGACGGGGGTCAGCCAGGGCGCCGGATCCTGCAGGATCCTGCGAAGGCCCCCTCTGGCTTACCCGGGTTAGGGAGCCGCTCGTGGCCGCGAGGCGGCCGCGCATATTGGCTGACCCGGGTCTGCGAAGACCTGCGGTGCAGTTTTTTTTCCTGCATTGCAGTTTTTGGTTTCCTGCTGACCCGGGTCTGGATTGACCCGGGTCAGAAGATCCCCGACCATCTCTCGAGCCGGATCGATCTGTGAGGTGCACGGGTCCCGAAAGAGGGCCGCCCAGCTGGAAAAAGCGGAGACGCCAGGGTCCCAGGGTTCACTCGGGCCTGTCCCTCTACAGGAGGGATATTCGAAAATAGTCAAAAATAATATTGGATTTGTTTTGAATATCTTTTCACCATTTTGGAGTGTGTGTGTATATATATATGTATATATACATATATATATATATATATATATATATATATATATATATATATATGCCGGAGTACCGGGCGCCCAGGCTCCGGGCCGGGACACCCTCCCAGATTTCTGTCCCCCCCTTTTGAGCACCCCCCTTGCGGAGCCTCCTGGGCCCCACCCCCGGGCCGACCAAAATAGTTCCAAGGAGCACGACTCAGCGACAAGAGCGGCGCAATAGCGCCCAAGACGACCCAAGATGGCCTTAAGATGGCCAAAGAGCCCCCAGGAGGCCCCCAATACGCCCCAAGAAGATTCCAAAATGCTCCCCAAGAGCGCCCCAGATGCCCCAAATTGCGCCATTCCCTTCGGAAACTGTACATTTTCAGCATACTCGCTTCTTCTGTCTTAACAGCGTATAACAGCGTCCAACACAGCCCAAGAGGCCCCCAAGATCGCCCCAAGACGGTCCAAGAGGCGCCCCTGACGGCCTGAGATGGGCCAACGGGGGGAGCTCCACCTCACATTCCGAGCCCCCCGCCCCAAGTCGACCCCCCAGACTGCCAGCAGGCCTCCAAGACGCCCCCAGGAGGCCCAAAAGAGGCCCCAAGAGGCCCCAAGCAGCTCCCAAGAGGCCCCCTAGAGGCTTCACAAGTGGCTCCCAGAGACGCCCGAGAAGCATGCCAAGAGACCCCAAACAGGTATCCCAGAAGCCTCTGACCCACAGCCCAGGCACGGTGGCAGTATGAGCCGAAGGCCCGTAGGTCCGCCGCCCCCTTTTGCTTTAGCAAAGGGGTGCCTGGCGTGCCGGATGATATGGCTTTTGGTTTAGGTTCTTTTTTCAAAAGAATTCCCCCTGGGGCTTCAGCCCGTCCCGATGGCCACCCAGAAATTGCACAAGTCAATGCCTGAAACGACCGTTTCGTTCGGGACATCCTCAAAAAAAACGCGAAGATGGCCCAAGATGGCCTCCAAGTCCGCCCAAGATGGTCCAAGACGGCGCCCAAGACGGCCCAAGAGGCCCCCCCCAGGCCTCCAGACGGCCCAAGAGGCCTCCAAGAGGTCCTCCAGGAGGGCCCGAAGAGGCAGAAATTATTGATTTGTCTTAGGTTTTTAAAGGATTTTGGAATTTGCTTCTTCTCGGCATTCCGACAGCTCAAAACGGCCCCAGAGGCCCCCAAGATCGCCCAAGAGGCCCCCAAAAGGGCCACATGACGGCCCAAGTGGCCTCCAAGACGGCCCCAAGAGGGCCCCAAGATGGCCCAAGAGGCCTCCAACTCGCCCAAGATGGCCTCCAAGACGCCCAAGATGGCCTCCAAGACGGCCCCGAAGCGCCCCAAGAGGGCCCCCAGTCGGCCCAGAAAGGCCCCCTAAGACGGCTCCCGACGGCGTCAGACATACCAGGAACCCACCAAGATGGCCGAAGTTGGCTCGAAGCTTGCCCAAGACAGCCCAAGAGGTCCCCAAGAGGGCCTCCAGGAAGGCCAGGAGAGGCCAAAAACCTTGATGTCCCATCGGTTTTTGACTGAATTTGACATTTCCTCCGACGGCCCCGGACAGCCCAAGAGCCCCCAAAGATCGCCGAAAGATCGCCCAAGAGGCCTCCAAGATGGCCTCAGAACGGCCCAAGAGGGACTCAAGACGGCCCCAAGAGGCACCCAAGACGGCACAGGAGGCCTTTAAGACGCCCAAGATGGTCTCCAAGACGGCCCTGGAGCATTCCAAGAGGGCCCCAAGTCGGCCCATAGAGGCCCCCCAAACGGCTTCCGACGGCGTCAGACGGACCAGGAGCCCACCAAGACGGCCGAACATGGCCCTAAGATGGCCCAAGACGGCCCAAGATTCCTCCAAGAGGGTCTCCAGGAAGGCCCGAACAGGCCAAATCATGGATTTCCCATGGGTTTTTGAAGGATTGTGGCATCTGTGTTTTTTGCCTTCCGACGGCCCGAGACGGCCCAAGTGCCCCAAGAGGCCTCCAAGACGGCCCAAGAGGTCTGCAAGACGCTCGAGATGGCCTCCAAGACGGTCCAAGAGCCCTCCAAGACGTCCTCCAAGAAGGCCAGAAAGTGTCAAATTGGCATCCAGACGGCCAAGATGACCTTCAAGATGACCACGTGTTCCCCGAAGGCTTTCCAAACCGATTCGGGGAACACATGGTCCGATAGCTTCACAGGTCTGGCCTCAACGTTCGGCCACATAGGCGCTTCCACAAAGGCAGGGGGCGGCGGTGATTCGCCGTAGGCGTCTTCGATAAGCAAACAAATAGCCTGGTGAAGGGCGCAACCTTCTGCAGTCACGCGTAGAGCAGGGCGCGGCCCTCTCTGCATATACTGCGCGCCGCGGGACAATGCGAATAGGGGCCGTGCGCAGGCGCGCTGAATTCCTTGTTGTGGTCACGGTCCGCGTAAAGGGTGTGCCGAATAATTTGGATGCACCCGCGGGAGCACGCCCATTGACGCAGCAGGTGCAGCTCCTTGTGGGCCACCACCCGTGTGAGGCATGTGCCGAAATGGCGGGGGGACGCCATGCGAAGTTGCCAATGGGCTCCACAGGTGGAGCTCCTTCCAGGGCACAATTCGCGTGAGGGGCGAACTGGATTCCACTAGAGAGGCAAATAAATGTTGGAGGAGATATTTTGGTGGCTTTGCAACGTCGCATCTGAACATGTGCTGATGGACGCGGTGCAGGAGCAGCAGCTGCCGCCGAATTATTGGTGGCAGTTCAAGGCTGCGCGGCTGCTACGGTAGCTACCAGGCTTCAGGTAAGAGGCCGGAGCCACGCGATGGAACCAACCGACATAAGCGTGTGATCCGTTGGCTATAAAAATTGGCCCAAGATGGTACCAACACGGTCCCAGTACGGCCCAAAGAGATTTCCAAGATAGCCCAGGAGGCCTCCAAGACGGCTCCCAAACGGCCCCAAATACCCCGAAGATCGCATATCCAGCATGCTTCCGAGAGGCTCCAAGACGGCCCAAAGACGGCTGGCAGTGGCCAGTAAGCTCTTTAATAATGCCCTCGAGAAGCCAAAGTCATCGAACTTCATGCCCTGCCGGTGCGACCTGGATGCGTGGCGAGGAGGGCGGGGCGACCTTCGATGCACCCTGGCTCGGCCCTGGTGGCGTGTACTACGGAACCAGACTCGGGCACCCCGCTTCTTTGCTCAGCTCCTTCTCTGGTCACAGGGCGGATCGAGAGAAGCGCAAGGTGCGTAGAAGAAGCCCTCACGACTCCCCTACACGTCGCCAGGATCTCGAAATTGCTATTGCCGCAGGTCCCATTACCACCCCCGAAGAAGCTTCAGAACCGCCTATTCATGCCTCATTGGCAACTCGCGATGCGAGTTCCTTGAGCGCGGCTAGAACCTAGGCGCGCGCGAAGCGCGCGCGTGGTCCTAGTGTTTGAACATTTTTTTTCGTCGACGATGCCCCTGTAGGGGACACGCCCGACTCAATCCCAGGGCCGTGCGTCGCCACCGCCGTCCGTGCGCCCGTCGCCTGCGCCGCCGCCGCCGCAGGCCGCCCGCGGCCCCCGCGGCGCCCCCCGCCGCCCCAGGCGCTGGCCGAGTGGCGCCACCGCGATCCGAGGACGGGGGCGGGGGGCGGGGGGGGGGCCTCCCTCGCCGCCAGCCCGCGGCGGAGATGGGTGGGCATCGGGGCCCGCCGTGCGCCTCCCCTGGCATCGCCTGGACATGTGCATGTTTTCCTCGGCGAGGGCCATCGAGGAGCATCCTCGATCATCGAGCCGAAAAACCCACGCACGAGACCGAAAAAAGGCGCAGGGAATGGACGCCCAAGCGATGGCCAGCTCCCCTCGCCGACTTGTTCGAGCCCAGCGTCTGCGCCCCGCTGCGGGGCCACGGGGCCCTCGCGGATCGATCCAGCTCGAGAGCAGGGCGCAGCAGGTTTGGGGTCCAGCCGTTGTGGTCGCGGTGTTTCGCGATGCTGCAGCTGTGTCGCGCCGTCGGAGCCCGGGGCCACCCCGCGCGTCACGCCCTGCCCCGCCCGCCGTCCCCCTCGCTCCTCCCGGTGCCCCATCCATTCCCCGGTCCCTGCCCGCCACACGGCATGGGGACCCCACACCGCGTGGTGGTTCAGTCTGGCTTCGGGGTCGCCACACGGCTGTGGGACTCGGGTCGTTCTCCGAGGCCGTCCCGGGTGACCGGGGACTCCGGGGTCCCAAGACGGTGCGGTGCACCGCGGGG